CCCATTCATCATTCAGGAGTATATTGTTTAATATCCATGTATTCATGTAGTTACTAGGGTTTCCTCCAGTGTTGATTTTAAGCTTTATTGCATTGTGGTCTGATAGAATGCATGGAATTATTTCAATCTTTTTGTATTTGTTGAGGTTTGTTTTGTGCCCCAGTATATGGTCAATTTTGGAGAAAGTTCCATGGGGCACTAAATAGAAAGTATATTCTTTGGTGTGTGGATGGAATATTCGGTAGATGTCTGTTCGGCCCATTTGATGTATGGTATTGTTTAATTCAGATGTCTCTCTGTTAATTCTCTGCCCCGTTGACCTACCTAATGGAGACAGTGGGTATTGAAGTCCCCTACTATTAATGAGTTGGGATTAATCTGGGTCTTAAAGTCCTGTAGTACTGTTTTTATGAAGTTGGGTACACTAGAGTTTGGTGACTATATATTCATGATTGTAATATCTTCTTGATGTATTGTTCCTTTGATCAGAATAAAGTGGCCCTCTTTATCGCTTCTGATTAGGCGCTTCTGATTAGTTTTAGTTTAATGTCTATTTTATCAGATATTAGAATTGCAGTGCCTGCTTTTTTCTTAGTGCCATTTGCTTTTTCTTCATCCTTTCACCTTATGGTAGTGCCTGTCCTTGAAAATGAGATGAGTTTCTTTCAGACAACAAAAGGATGGGTTTTGTTTTCTTAATCCATTGAACTAGTCTGTGTCTTTTGACTAGGGAGTTCAGTCCATTGACATTTAAAGTTATTAATGTAAGATGTGTATGAATCCTGTCATTTTCATTTCTGTTCACATTCTTGGTATAGCTGTGCATTTCCACAGTTATACTTTCATTGAGTTTCTTTCTGTAACCCATTGGGTATAGTACTTCCTTTCTTCAGCTCTTTGTATTGCTTCAAGAACTCTCTGAAAGACTGGTTTTGTGGACCTCAATTCTTTCAGCCTATTTATGTCATGGAAGATTTTTCTTTCCCCTTCAACTATAATAAGACATTTTGGCTGGATATAGTAATCTGGGTTGGCATCTGTGGTCATTTAACACTGGGAATACTTTGGTCCAGGCTTTTCTGGCTTCCATAGTTTGTACTGAAAAGTCAGCTGTAATTCTGATGGGTTTTTCTTTATATGTGACTTTTTGTTTTTCAGCTTTGGGTATTCTTTGTTCTGTATGTTTAGTCATATTTTTTTTGGTCTTTTTGAGACAGGGTCTCCCTGTAGCTCCAGCTGTCCTGGAATTCACTATGTAGACCAGGCTGGCCTTGAACTCACAGAGATCTGCCTGCCTCTGCCTCCCAAGTGCTTGGATTAAAGGCGTGCACCACCAGGCCCAGCTGTTGTTGACTCTTTTTACTATGATGTGCTATGGAGAGTTTTTTTTCTGGTCCTGTCTATTTGGTGTTCTATATGCTTCTTGTATTCGTATGGACATGTCTTTCTTTAATTTTGGGATATTTTCTTCTACAATCCTATTGAAGAGCTGGTCCATACCATTATCCTGAGATTCTTCTCCTTCCTGTATGCCTATGATTCATAAGTTTGGTCTTTTTATGGTGTCACACAATTCCTGCATCCATTCTTGTGTTTTCTTAGATTTTTCATAATCTTTGCTTGAGTGGTCTAATTGTTCAACACTATCCTCCAATGTTGATATTCTGTTTTTCCATTTCATTCATTCCTAGTGGTGAGGCTTTCCCCTGTTGTTCCTAGTTGGCTTACTGAGTTCTGCACTTCCTTCTTTATTTCAGCCTGAGTTTTGTTCAATGTTACCATCTCTTTTCTGAATTCATTCAGAAGTTTATCCCTATCTTCTTGTAGTTCTTTCTTTTTTCATGTGTTCTTTAATTTTTGATTTCTTTGTGTATTCTTTAAATTCACTGAATTCTTTTATCATGTTTATAATTGTTCTTTTGAGTTCCATATCCTGTGGTATCTCTAGGGGTTTCTCATTGTACTGCTCTAAAGGACTGTTGGTACTTGGTGGGGATGTATTGTTTTGGTTTTCAGGTTACCATTTTTTCTCTGTGACTTTGACATGTGCATATTTTTCTGTAGTTTCTGATTCTTGTGTGAGACTCAAGCCTTCCTTTGTTGAGTTTAGGTCTGCTTTCTTTTTGTAAACTTTATGTTCCTCTGTGGTTTACTTGTTGGGTATGAAAAGCTGGTTGGTCTAAGCTTCAAGTTCTCTCTTTTGATTTTATATTGGAGTGGCCAAATTGCTTTTGTCTTGCTGCTCAGGAGTTCCCAAAGAGGCCCAAGTCAGATGAGGATGAGATGCTTTCAGGCTTTCTCCTAAGGTCTGGATCCCTCTAGGAAAGATGCTGGCCTCAGGAATTTGAGGGCTGGGATGGCCTGGGAGCAGGGCCTAGGAAAGATGCTGGTCCCAGGAAGCTGGTAGGTGTGCTGAAGTGGGCATTCACTTTTTAAATGAAGAGTAAACTAAATTCTAGATATTATAACAACTTTCTGGAAATAGAGTACGTAATTTCTGGTTTTGCTGACAAGGGGCACCATAGTTTAAGATAAACAACTTTACTAAGACACACACACACACACACACACACACACACACACACGTGGCACCATAGTTTAAGATAAACAACTTTGCTAAGACACACACACACACACACACACACACACGTGTGCGCGCACACACTCACGCGCACACACACATACCTCCTTAACCTTCAGAATGATCTAAATACATAATTTTGTCTTATTTTTTGAGACAGGGTCTTACTACATGTCCCTGACTGATCAGGAACTTGCTATGTAGGCTGGCCTCAAACTCACAAAGTGGCCTCTACTTCCCAAGTGCTGGAATTAAAGGCATGCCGCCATCATGCCCAAGTCATTTTTTTACTTTTTAAATATGTATAATATTACACAGTGATCTTGCTTAGTAAAGGAAAACATATTGTGAATATTCAAATTTCTCTCTGCAAAAGTGCCCTAACCCAAGAAAACACTAATTAAATGTTTGCTGATGCTAACAATGGTCAATCTAATCTTATGCTGCACATTAAAGAAGAGCATTGCTTCTACACTTAGACTTTCTCTAGTAAACTTTATTTGTATATAAATAAGTGATATGTGCATTTTAACAACTTGAGTATTAAGAATATAAATTTAATTCAAAATAGCTAAAAATCTGTATCATTTGTTTTTCCCCCTTCAGCTGAAAAGACAAGCCTCTTTAGAGAAACATAGTAATACACTGGAAAGTCAATCCATCTCTGACATTGAACAAGTACTCTGCAGACTGCTGGCCACAATATCAATGATGACCAAGTTTCTGAAGCAGGTGTCCCAACATTCTTCCTTTAAGAAAATTAAGCAACGTAAATTAAAGAGAAAGAAGAGTAAAGAAGAAGGAAGGGATACTACAAAATCTAAGCACATGTAAATATAGCTCAGACAAGTGTACAGGTTATAAAAGAAATCTATTGAGAGGACTGGCTAGGGGATGAAAGGTTTGTTTGGGAGCTGGTCTAATTTATTTTTTCCTTTGGCCACAATATTTACTGAAATATTTTGGACAAGTCTAGATTTCCATTCAACTGAGAATGAATCCATAGTTACTAAGTGGCTCCCAGAATAAAATGAGAAACACCTTACATTTAAGGTTATAATCTGGCAGTAATTATAGCAGCAGGGGATTTTTTTGTCTTGACTACATGACAGGTATTTGCTGAGTACATTATAGCAAATGATTTAATTTTCACAACTCTCTAGAAATAACTATTATTGGTCCACTTTTCTAGAGAAGGAAACTCGGGTTCAGAGAATTTAAGTACTCTGCCTAAGCTTATAGAGATTTCCAGAGGAAATGCCAGTGTTTAAACTTAAGCAATCTCAAGAGACTATGCTCTTAATTAACCCTTTAATTTTTCCACAGTGGAAAAGTTGGGGTTCAGTAAGGCAATCTTGTCACTGTCCCCTGACATGTCATTTCTCCTGGATCTAAGATTTTGCTCATGCACAATCAACTGTGTATTCAAATCCCATTGGCAAGGCCTGTTCAAGCCCAACATGTTGGCTTCAGGTTCTCTGATGACTCCACAGCATGGACTGCCAGCTCTGTCTGTTTTTACCCTTAACTCTTACTTTTTTCTACCATTATCTTTATGATGTTATTATATGACTGTTGAAAGATTTATAGATGATGTTTCCTTCTAAGAGATGTCCAGAAAGCATAAACAACCAATTGTGCCTACAATATTGTCATTTTCAGTAGTAGGCATTCAATAAAATGCTTGCCAAACACATGAATATGGGAAACTATACAAAATGAATGGTTTGAAGTTCATAAGCACGCATACATATTACACAAGTATGTCCTCCTAAAATATCTTCAAGCTGTATTCTACAGAGCTGTGGGAATGATATACGCAAAACATCAACAAATTCAAAGTAACACATAGGTTTTTAAACTCTGTATTGAAATATAACATGCATATGAAAAAGTTTAAAAACTGCACAGCCCAATGAATTTTCATAAATGAAAAGCCCATGTAACCAGCAACCAAACAGAGAAAAATGATAGGTCCCAGAAGTCCTTCCATATCATAAGGGTAATTATGATTCAAGTTACTAACATTGTAGATTAACTTTTCCTAAGAAAATGTTTTTAATTGCTATTACCATTTTTCTATCTAGGGGATCAAATATATTACTGAACCACGTTGTTTTAAATATTTAAGGAATACTTTACTTTGCTTAGGTCTTTCAGAAAACAACTTTGATATATATGTATAAATTGTTATACAAATCATTGTATAAATTGTTAGAAGTTGTTAATCAACAAGTTTCAATATAAAGTTAAAGTTAAGAACTGTGCTTTAGGTCAATAGCAAAGTAAAGGAGAAAGAAGAATGAAGCAATCTTTACATATTATGGCCAAAAGAAAACAAAACATCTAGCTGGAAGGTAGAATATTAATCATCTTGTTCCATCGCCTCAGTCATTTTAACATCATGTGAGCTCCTTACCTGCCCAGTCAAGAAACTGAACACACTCAGTCTGGGAATACCGAGCAGCAACATCTCGAGCTTTTTCTTCCCGGAAGTTCAAAGCTTCTATATCAACATCCAGTTCCACCAGTGCCTTTAAAGTTTCCAAACGGCCCCAGGCTGCAGCACAGTGTAAAAGTGTGTATCCTAACAAACAGAATGAAGATGGTTAGGTCAAACAGACTACGAATGATACCCAACTTAGGATGGCTTGATACAAGTTTTTAACTTCATGATGGTAGAAAAGTCACACACATTCAGTAGAAACCATACTTGGAATTTGGTGTTGCGTTTTTTCCAAAGCTAGAAATATGTGATCCAATACTCTCTCAAGATACAGAACAGAAGAGTGAGCCACAGGTCCCTGACAACCATATAATCTCAGAGATTAAACAATGGATGCTCTCTGGTGTACTGCTGATAAAATATGAGAAGGTCAGATGTATTAAATATATTTTCCACTTACAGTATTTTATGAAATGTCTGTTGGGTCATGACTTGGTCATAAATCAAAGCACTTATGTTATTTCAGACTATTTTATGTAGATGATCGGATGTGTGCTTTGGAGCTTGACTGCCTATATTTGAATCTGACTCTGTTGTCCTCCAGCACCATGGTCTTAAGCAAGTTGCTTAACTTCTCTGTGCCCCAGCTCCTGTACTGCAAAGTGGGAATGATGTTAGGACCTGATTTATAGGGGAGACAGGGATTAAATGAATCCATTCAAGCCTGGCCACAGGAAGTGTCATGTGAGGTCTCTGTTGAGGTGATGATGGTTGTTACAATGGGACTATTTGTTCCCTGAATTTCCATCCTGGTGGGCTGTCCTGATCAAAGAAGGAGCCAGCTCCAATCTCAAAGGACTGAATTGGAAACTCTGGACCTAGACCAGTAAATCATATAGTTAATAAGCTCCCTTTCTAATCTGTAGTATGAAGTTCAGGGCTGCCTTATATAGTTGTTCAAGTTGCTCACCAGCAAGGATTCAGGGCTGAGAGGGTATATGGGACTGACACCCAACTTGTACTCTTCTCACTGGTGTGTGCTCTGTCTGTTGGCTGAGGTGACTGGGAAGGGTGACTTTTCCCATATCCCTGGGGTTGGCACTGCCCCAGGAGTGCAGCCTAGTGTGAGGGCTGTGTGGTATCCAGTTGTTCACTTGCCAGCTCATTAGTTCCCAAGCTGTTTTCAGCCACCCAGTCACCTCTCCCTCAGGAAGATAACACTCATAAATAATGGCCAGGTCATGCTGACTGTGAGGATGATGGACAGCAGGAGGGCTGGGGAGAATACTATGTAGCAGGGGAGGCGAGGTCCAGGGTGGCCAGAGTCATGGATGCCCACATAGAGTTTCTGGGCTTTCTCTTCAGGGTAGCAGGGCATCATGGAAGGTTGAAAAGCAGGGAGGAACCTTGGTGACCACAGGCACAGTAGAGGCTGAGACAGGGAAGCCAGTGAATGCTCTCCAGTGTCCAGGGTGGACCCTCCTTTCACGCCTCAGTGGTCATAGGGGGGCATGGAGCCTAAGGCATGGAAAAGCTCAACTTATCCAGCTCTGGTACATTGATTACCCAGGCCAGGGCTCAGCCCTGTCTCCTTCCTGGCTGTCCACATCCCCATTTCCTCCCATGTTTCAGTTGGTTCTGCATCTGCTGCACTACTGGCCCCTCCTAGTTTTCTCCTGTCCCCACTTACATGAAGTCCTATTCTTCCTGCCTGGCTCCTCCTCAGCTCCTCGATGCAGGACTTTCTTTCCCTGAGGGGTTCCTCTACCTTGAATCTCTGTGCCATCCAGGAGGTCACTCCCTTCACCCACGGCCACTGTGAAGCAAAGTGGCTGGGACATGCCCCTGCTGGCTTTCATTGGCTGCCATAGCCAGCATCTCCCACACCTGCTCTTTGTCGGGGTATGACCATGGTGCCTGCCTTGTCCTTGCCTTATCCCCAGCCTCCAGGGCCCCCTGTAGCCCATCTCCAACTCCACACAGAGATGGCCCTGCTCTGCCCTGCCCTCCTCTCTCACTGCCTGGTTAGGGGGGTCCCTGTTTCAGCCACCCTGGGTTTCAATCTTTCACCACCACTACCCTCACGGCCATCCCCAGCTTCTGCTTCTTGTGTATTTGTGGCACCTGCCTTCCCTTCCTGCTTCTCCAAACTGCATTTATACATGTCTGACTGAATGTCCTCTTTCTGACTGGGCTGGCCACCCCTTTGCATCCCTCATCCCCAGGCCAGAGGCCACCAGTTCTGTGAGATCTTTCTGAACCACTTAGGATGGGACCACACACCTGCCTTCTCTGTGTAGAGCAGGCCAAGGACAGCCTGGGGCTGTGGCACTGGAGCCTGAAAGAACAGGGCCCTCCTGCCCTGGGGAAGTGACAACCTATGGACACGGGAGACTGTGGCCTGTGGTATAGGAGCCTGAAGACTTGAGGATGAGATGGTGTTCTCTAAGAACAGAATGGGGGACTTTGCTTGTTTGAAGGCCAGGGTCTGAGGAGACCAAGGGGCTTGTGTGCTTGGACACAGCAGTGTGTGCCATATGGGTGGCACTGGTGAAGGGGTTTGGAGCTTTAAAATCTGAGGGCTTCTGGGGTTGGAGAGATGGCTTAGTGGTTAAGATTACTGGCTGCAGGGCTGGAGTGATGGCTCAGTGGTTAAGAGCACTGACTGCTCTTGTAGAGGACCCAGGTTCAATTCCCAGAACCCACATGGCAGCTATGCACCGTCCTTAACTCCAGTTCCAGGGGAATCCAACGCCCTCTTCTGACCTCTGCAGCATTACATGACATGGGTGCACTCACATACATGCAGGCAATACACTCATACACATAAAATAATAATAAAATTAAATAATAAAGAAGAGAATTTATTCTTCACAATTTTGAGGTATGAGGAATCCAAGGTCAAGACATTAGTATTTTGATATGGACCCTCTTGCTAAGTACCCACATGGTGGGAGGAAGAAGAACAAGAAAGAATGATACTCACAGTCCTTCTGTATAGTGGCATTCGTCCAGTGTCCATTCACGAGAGAGCCTCATGAATTAAACACCCCCACAAGGACCCACTTCCCAACACTGCATTGGGCATTCACTTCCAACACATGAATTTTGTGTGGGACACATTCAGACCACAGCACCTACAAAATGAGGAGTCAAGAAATACCCAGATACCATTCACATTATCCCTGCCTTCTGCCTGAAGGTGGAAATCTTCAATAAGCTGAATGGTCCAGGGCCCTGACTGGCTCTGGGAGAAGGATACTATCTGCAGACACACCGCCACAAGCATGACCAGGAAGCCAGTCTACATGGGAAAATGGTCTAGAGTCCTGTATTGTTTTTTACAAGGCTGAAATAATAATTATGGGGAACATCTAATCAAAGTGTTCTCAAATTTATTATGACACTGAAGAGGAGAGGTATGGAGGTTGAAAGTTTTAATATATTTAATTAAAATAAAACTAAACGGAAGCTTTTGCCAATGAATATTCAATTTCTACATATTTTAATCACTTACTGGAAATAGTCCATTTTGTAAAAAAAAAAAATCATAGATCCTTGTAGTACATTAACTCATCACCATTCCAAAAGAAAGGCATCTAAATAGGCTTATGTTAGGGCCAGTGAGATGGCTTGGTGGGTAAAGACACTTGTTACCAAGCCTGAAAACCTGTTTTATCCCTAGAACCCCCATGGTAGAAAAAGAACCAATACCTACAAGTTGTCCTCTGACCTCCACCCTTAGGGGCATAGCACACACACACACACACACACACACACACACACACACTCACTCACTCACTAATTAAAAAGTTTTTTAAAGATTTCAGAAAATATTCAGATAAGAATTGGCTCTTTCCTGAGGTGTGCTAGTACATGCCTTTGATTTTCAGAAAACATTCAGATAAGAATTGGCTCTTTCCTGAGGTGTGCTAGTACATGCCTTTGATCCCAACATTTGGTAGGCAGAGGCAGGTAGATCTCTGTGAGTTTGAAACTAGCCTGGTCTACATAATGAGACCCTGTCTCTAAAACAAAAACAAAATAGAATGGGATCTTCCTAAACTTCTCCCATTATACTGGCAACGAACTTTGGATTCCAAAAAGGGAAGAGAGAAAGGAGACTGGGAATCCCCACATGAAGAAAGAGACCATAATGGAAATGGGAAGGATTTAGGGTGGTTCTAGGAGATTCAAAGATCTCTTTGTGGAAGATTCCTGAAAATAGAGTAAATTAAGAAGCAGTGACCAGCAAGCCAAAAGATCAGACAAAAAAAAAAAAAAAAACCTTTTTCTCTGTACTCATGTTGCTCTGTGTGCTTCATAAGTATCAGTGGGTTCAGACCTCATTCTGGTCCTCTACTGGAACTAGGTACTAATGCTACTCTCAGGTCTGTATAAGGAAACTGAAACACAGCAAGGATAAGTACGTTTCCCATGGTGTCTGTTAATGAGTGTGTCGATGATAAGGTTGAATCTAAGACCTGAAATGGTGATAGGCAAGAACAAAAGATTCAGTCAGGAAGAGAAACTCTTTTCCAAAAGTCACAATAACTAACATGATGGAAAAAAAGTGAAAATGGGGGTTGGAGAGATGACGGAGCAGTTAAGCGCTCGTGCTGCTTTTCCTGAGTTTAGTTCCCAGCACCCATGTCAAGCAACTCACAACAGCCTGTAAGTCCAGCTCCAGGGGATCTGACATCCTCTTCTGGCCTCTGCAGGCAACTGTATTCATGTGAATATACCCACACACAGACATATATGCATACACCTAACTAGAATTTAAAATAAACCTTTAAGAAAAGTCAAAGTATAAAACCAATAGGATAGACACACAAATAAAAAAGCAAACTTTACCATGACACAAACCTTCAAAGGCTTACAATAACACAGAAAAAAACAAAGGATATACAAAACAACCAGAAAACAACTAACAAAATGGCAAGAATAGATTGTTACATAATAACCTTGAATGCAAATGCCTTATAGTCTCTAATTAAAAGATATAAATTTTAAATTTTAAATAACAAAGAAACAATACCCACATATATGCTGCCTGCAACAAACTCCTTCCACTGGTAATGGCACAGATAGCCTGAAAGTTACAGATGGAAAAGAGAAATTCCCTGCAAGCAGAAACC